TAGCTGGGATTACAGGTGCCCAACACCACGCCCGGCTAATTTTTGTATTTTTTTAGTAGAGACAGGGTTTCACCATGTTGGCCAAGCTGGTCTTGAACTCCTGACCTCAGGTGATCCACCCGCCTCAGCCTCCCAAAGTGCTGGGATTACAGGCATGAGCCACTGCATAGAGGTCAATTGCGATACTACAGGAAAAGAAGGTAAAGTGGAGTCACATCTGATTTCCATTTACATGCCGGTTTTAGAAACTCACCCCCATGAAAGGTATAACTTCACAATCTACTTAATCCTCACAGCACCAAACAAATTTATTAACATTTATTAATGTTAAGGCTTAATGTAAAAACAATGGTGTAAATCCTGCAGATAAGTAGGAAAACTTCAGAATTATCTATCTGTTGTCAATTTATCACGAGAGATTGGATTTTATCCTAAAGGCATATTTTGGGAATATCCAAATATCTGCAATATAGTCTCTCCTTCAGAATTTTCCTACATGATGTAGAAATCAAGAGCTACCTGCCTGAAGTTGACAGATTAAAAAATGATGATTAAGTATAGTATCTGAATTTATGACAGGTAGCCAATGGGAAAACAATAAAAGATAACAAAAATTACGAGAAAAAAGGGGTAGCATAAATGATATGGATTTCTCAGCTTCAATATTCAGGAGTGAAATAAGTACCGCTTAAAGTTGAAAAATTAAGAAATGGAAGTATAAGCATTTAATTTGGAGTTATGAAAATAATCACCCAAAGAAATCAAGATAGAAATGACATGAATGCTGATGTCTACCGAGTGGGACCAGGGTGAGGGACATTGCTTGCTTTCATTTATGCCTCTTTTTTCTATTTAGATGTTTCATTTTTGTGTGCACACATTATATTTTCATTTTATTTTATTTTATTTTTTGAGACAGTCTCTCTTTATCGCCCAGGCTGGAATGCAGTGGCGCGATCACAGCTCACTGCAACCTCCACCTTGTGGGCTCAAGTGATCTTCCCACCTTAGCCTCTCGAGTAGCTGAAACTAGAGGTATGTACCAACACACCCAACTATGTTTTGTACTTTTTGTAGAGGCAGGGTCTTGCCATGTAGACTAGGCTGGCCTTGAACCCCTGGGCTCAAGTAATCTGCCCACCTCAGCCTCCCAAAGTGCTAGGATTATAGGCGTGAGCCACCACACCCAGCCTGTAATTTTAAATTGGCCAAAAAAACTATGTTCATCTAGGCAGCCTGCTCTTCCGCCCTCTAAAATATCCATTGCAAGCATTCTCTGCACCATCAGATGGCCTACATGTCAACTTCCCAGTTCCAAACTTACAAAAGTCTTCTTTTAAAATAGAGGAAGTGTCTGCCCACCTAAGGTTAATCTCTCTGCCTGTGTGTGAATCCCAGCCACACCTATGTCTTCAGAAATTGCTAATTACCCTCTTTCTCTTCAGGATCCTCAAACTCTCCTTTTCTGTGAGCTGCCTTCAAGCAGTGGAGGACACGCTCAGGCTACTCCCATCTGAAACTGAAAAGCCACCTTGACCCCATGACCCTGTCTAGCTTCCTCTCTCTTCTCCCCTTTACAGCCAAATATCTCCATTTCCGACTCCTGAACTCACTCTGATACGGAGTCTGCCTTCATCACTGCAGTAAAACTGCTTTTGCCAAGCTCACAGGTGGCTCTAATCCCTAATCAGACTGTCACTACCAATCTTCCTCCTACGTGATTTCTCAAAGCTTCTGACAGAGGGGATCACGCTTTTAAATTCTTGCTTGGATTTTCAGGACATCCCACCTTATCACTGTAATTTGGCAGATTTGTGTCCTCACACATCATTAGCATAAAAGATTTCCCCTCACCATGAAGTATTTCTCACATCAAGTCATAACCTTGGCCATAACTGGAGTATTTGCTCCCCACAAGCCTCTGCACTCCACATGCAGATCTTCCTGCCAAAGGCTTTCTTGCTTCCACAGTGACATCCAGGAACAGGGGCAATCCCTTCATGTTGCTCCACGGGAAAGCCACCTGCAGAAAGGCCAGCTTGCCGCTGGAATTTTTATTGGATGTCTTCAGAGAGATATGCTACAGCACGTTTCAGTGAATGGGCTTCCACTTACAGCAGAAAATTTAATCTTGTGAACTCAGTCACTTGTTTGAAACTCAATTGGGGATGATAGTGGCTCTTTCTCAATTCATTAGAATTCTCTCCCTTTTCTCCTCTGAGTAGATTTCTAGTGAGGGCAGTGGAGGGGAGAAGCTTGGTTATCATCCTAGCATTGTCTTGTGCTTTCTTCCCTGTGGACTCTGCTGAGAGTGTAACTGCCTAATCTACCAGCACAAGCAAGGCAGACTGATCATTTCAGGAGAGGTTGGGGGTCCTCTCCTGTTGATGTGGCCTGATGGGCACTGGTCTGATGACTTGCTGAAAACTAGTTGCATCTTCCTTTGCTGACAGGCTGACCACCCCCAGCCTCATTCAACTTGGACGCTGGTGCTTGGTAGGCACTTCACCATTCAACTCTTTCTTGGGAACCTTTTGGATCTCCTCTAGGCCCTGTTGGATATATGTGTGTAAATGCGCACGTGTGTGTGTGTATATATATGTGTATATATACACATACACACATACATATATATACACACACTTCTGTGTTAGGGGCAAAGGAGGGAGCCATATAGTTGGTAATCAAAGCGACAAAAGGCCCCCTCTATGTTCATTTCTAAAGGCCAAGGCATACAGGCTCAGAGCACTATTGCGCTGTCTTCTGTCAGAAACTTGGGCAGAGCCAAGTCTTTCTACTCTTAGACCCAAAATCTACTCAGCAATTTATAACAGCCAACACTTCCCTCCTTGCATCTTATTCCCTAATCCCACAGATTTTCCTAGCTATCATCTAAGTCCTCTCACCTTTTCTCTCAGAACATCTCCCCCAGCTCAGAGAGGAATTTGTCTCTGTAGGTGGGAGGGTCTTCAAAAAAAAAAAAAAAAAAAATGAGGCGGGGCACAGCGACTCATGCCTATAATCCCAGCACTTTGGGAAGCTGAGGCAGAAGGATCGCTTGAGATTAGGAGTTCAAAACCAGCCTGGACAACATAGTGAAAGCTTGTCTCTAAAAAAAATAAAAAATTAGCCTGTCATGTTGGTGCCCGCCTGCAGTCCCAGCTACTTGCTCATAGTCTTTGAATCTTTATATGCAAAGTCAACTTTTTAAGAATCAAAAAAGAAAAATACATGTATCTTTTCTGCCAACCACTAGCTTTTTACAAATGAGTACTCCACCTTTCAGACTCTATTGCTTTTATTATAATTTACAACAAACTTTGAAATTCAGGCTCTATTTGTTCTCCCTTCAAGGCAATGAAGCCCATGAGTGGAAGGAAGACTATAGGGCAAAAACAAAAAAAGTGAGAACGTTATTATTATTATTATTATTAATTGAGATGGAGTCTCACTCTGTCACCCAGGGTAGAGTGCAATGGCATGGTCTCGGCTCACTGCAACCTCTGCCTCCTGAGTTCAAGCAATTCTCCTGCCTCAGACTACCCAGTAGCTGGGACTACAGACACGTGCCACCACACTCTGCTAATTTTCGTATTTTTAGTAGAGATTGGGTTTCACTACGTTGGCCAGGCTGATCTCAAACTCCTGACCTCATGATTCGCCGGCCTCGGCCTCCCAAGGTGCTGGGATTTACAGGCGTGAGCCACTGCGCCCGGCCGTGAGAACATTCTTGATTTAAAATTCACATATATAATCTAGGTATGCGATCATAGCTTCTTTAACTTGCTATGGTCCATGAAAGGAGAAATCATAATTTCTCCACCTTTTAAATAGCCAGATTTCTGCAATCCGTCCACCCCCTCTAGATTTTCAGCAATTATCTGTGAAAAGGAGGAAAGAATAGCAAACTAGAAGCAAAATCATAAGCTTCAAAATTTCTTTGTGCCTCCGTTTTTATGCAGTTTCTTTTGGTATGGCAGGAAAATGGGCAATATTGTTTTCATACAATAGCTGTATTTTGTTCCAGCATGCACATAAATTACACAGTTAACCTTATCTGACCTTACCTAAAGTGACCTTTTTTTGCTTGATTATTGATTCATGCATTTTTACATCAAAGTCTACATTTAGTGAAAGAAAAAATTCATAATTTATATCATTTAACGTATTAATCTTAAAAGTGCATGTATACCTGGAATGGGAAACGTAATAAGCAAGCTAGCAGTTAGAGTACGTGACTGTGGGAAACGTAAAGTGGAAAAAAACATATAGAAGAAAAAAATAGCTCTAACAGGGAGAGGTTTGGGGCCCCACAGATAAATAGGCACATTTCCACTCCACCTCCGGACATCTGCCGGTTGGTGGTAAAGTTGCTGATTTTAGGAAATTCTAGAGACAGAACGTTGTCGGCGTGGTGGTGTGCTATTGACAATAACATTGTCAAGGAAGGCAATATCTGGATTAACTAGAGAACTAAGAAACTGCGGGAGCAAGCGCAATCGCTGCGGGGCCAGGACTAGCTTCGAAGGCAGTAAAAGCCTCACAGCAACACGGAGCCGGGTCCTCGTGTGACCTTGCTATGTAAGGAGACCGGCACCCTCGTCCTCTTGACGGCGCCGAGACCCCGACGGCCTCGGAACGCTTCGCTCGGGCACACTGAAAGCAGCGCGAGACTCGGTTCCCGACATTCTATAAACATGGAGGCCGGCTTTTGTTTGTTTTGGCCCCGCTCACACACAGGCGTCTCAGAGCGGAGACCATAGGCCCCGCGGCTGCTGGCGGCTCAAGGTCCCCCAGGACGCCGCCCTGGAGGACTTTGCCCGCCGCGCCCGGCTGCCTCCCTTGCCGGGCCCTGCCCCTCTCGCCTCTGCTCCCGGCGCCGCAGCTGACGCGGCGCAGGAGGAGGGCGACAGCAGCGCGCGGCGTCACAAAGCGAGGCCAGAACGCCTGGGGTTCCGCCGCGACTCGGTCATCCCGGGCCAGCCCGACTTGAAATCCGCCCTCACAGGGAGTGAGACGCCCGACGCCCGCCCCCCCGCCCCACCCTCAGGGTCCCCTGAGGGACCGGGACGCAGCGTCGCGGCGGCCCCGGCGCCGCAAAGCGTCCTGGGAGCGCCGGCTCGCGCCGGAAGAACGCGAGGGCGCGCGGCGGCGGCGAGGTTATAAAAGGGAAGAGGCCGGCGGCGGGCGGAAGTGGGCGGTTCGGCTGCTCCGGGCGCTGTTGTTTGGTTTTTGGGCCTCTGGAGGGGCGTTATCTGGAGGGCCGCTGGTGCAGGCCGCAGTGACAGGGCTGCTCTCCCCGCGCTCCGTGCCTGTCTCCCGGTGCAGCTGTGCTCGCGGCCTCTGCGGCCTGCAGGCCCAACATGGCGCAGGAGGTGTCGGAGTACCTGAGCCAGAACCCGCGGGTGGCCGCCTGGGTGGAGGCGCTGCGCTGCGACGGCGAGACTGACAAACACTGGCGCCACCGCCGGGATTTTTTGCTCCGCAACGCCGGGGACCTGGCCCCCGCTGGCGGCGCTGCCTCCGCTAGCACGGATGAAGCTGCCGACGCCGAGAGCGGGACCCGAAACCGGCAGCTGCAGCAGCTCATCTCCTTTTCCATGGCCTGGGCGAACCACGTCTTCCTCGGGTGCCGGTGAGTGAGGCAGCGTCCCTAACCAGCACGCCCCGTTTTGTCTGCCACCTGCAGACCGGCGCTCGGCGCCCTCCGCGGGACCGGCCTTGGCGGGGAGGGGAAGTTGTGAAGCGCGGGAATCCGCCGGCCCGGCTGCCCTCTAAGGGTGAGAAGGGTGTCCCTGCGAGGAGCCGACATGATTCCCGGACGTCTGTGTGCCCCGCGGTGTGGGGGGAGCTGCTGGTAGGGTTGCTGGTGTTAGGGGACAACGCTCTTGGGGACGGGTGCTAGATTTAAGATGAGTGAGGAGGTGCCCTGCCTCCTAGACCCTGGGGCGCTTGTTTATGGAGTTCCAGGAAACAGTTCTTGGCGGTTGGTACACTTTCTTGATTGCAGCCAGGAAATGCAGTTCCTGTGGCCTGTTTTTTGCAAAGCACAAATAGGACCTTAGAAAAAGCACTTTTTAAAAAATGACTTTTCCTTCTTTTTCAGATACCCTCAAAAAGTTATGGATAAAATACTTAGTATGGCTGAAGGCATCAAAGTGACAGATGCTCCAACCTATACAACAAGAGACGAACTGGTTGCCAAGGTGAAGAAAAGAGGGATATCGAGTAGCAATGGTTAGCAGATCATAGATGTGAACATACATAGGAGTTTAGAGCATAAGTTTGATATAATTAGGAATTATCGTTATTAATTTTTTTAACAAGCCAGAATTTTTATGTTATCAATAAGTAATAAAGTTGGAATGTTAAACCTAAACTATATATCTGTGTCTTTAGGCTTTGAATTTGATAGTTTACTTTGACTGCTTTAGATTTTGAAGTGTCCACTGTTGTCTGATGCTGGTTTTTTTTTAAATATTAGACATTCATGATGTTATTCAACACTGTTTTAAGAAATTATTGACTCCACACTTTTTAAAGAAACGATTAGTCTTGAAATATTTTCACTTTGTGCCTTTATTTTAATGTGTATTTGTCTCATCACCCGTTTTATACGAGGTATTCTTAGTCATGTATCTATGTTTTTCTTCTTTTTAGAAGGGGTAGAAGAGCCATCCAAAAAACGAGTTATAGAAGGGAAAAACAGTTCTGCAGTTGAGCAAGATCATGCAAAAACTTCTGCCAAGACAGAACGTGCATCAGCTCAGCAGGAAAACAGTTCAGCGGGTACAGGGGCGGCCACTAAATCGGAGAGTGGGAACTCAGCTCGGAGCGCTGGCATCTCCAGTCAGAATAGCTCTACAAGTGATGGAGATCGATCTGTCTCCAGCCAAAGCGGCAGCAGCGTTTCCTCTCAGGTAACACCGGCAGGATCTGGGAAAGCTTCTGAAGCAGAAGCTCCAGATAAACACGGTTCTGCATCATTTGTTTCCTTGCTGAAATCCAGTGTGAATAGTCACATGACCCAATCCACTGATTGTAGACAACAAGGTGGATCACCTAAAAAGAGTGCTTTGGAAGGCTCTTCAGCCTCAGCTTCTCAAAGCAGCTCAGAGATCGAGGTGCCCTTGTTGGGCTCCTCAGGAAGCTCAGAAGTAGAATTGCCACTGTTGTCTTCCAAACCTAGTTCAGAGACAGCTTCAAGTGGGTTAACTTCCAAAACTAGTTCAGAGGCAAGTGTTTCATCATCAGTTGCTAAAAACAGTTCCTCATCGGGCACATCCTTACTGACTCCCAAGAGCAGCTCTTCAACAAATACATCGCTGCTAACTTCCAAAAGCACTTCCCAGGTAGCTGCGTCACTTCTAGCTTCCAAGAGCAGCTCCCAGACCAGTGGATCACTGGTTTCCAAAAGCACTTCCTTAGCAAGTGTGTCCCAGTTGGCTTCTAAGAGTAGTTCTCAGACTAGCACCTCACAGTTGCCTTCTAAAAGTACTTCACAGTCAAGTGAGAGTGCTGTCAGATTCTCTTGCAAGTTAACCAATGAAGATGTGAAACAGAAGCAACCTTTTTTCAATAGACTGTATAAAACGGTGGCATGGAAGTTGGTAGCTGTTGGTGGCTTTAGTCCCAATGTGAATCATGGAGAGCTTCTAAATGCAGCTATTGAGGCTCTGAAAGCAACACTGGATGTATTTTTTGTCCCACTAAAAGAATTAGCAGATCTGCCTCAAAATAAGAGCTCTCAAGAAAGTATTGTTTGTGAATTGAGGTGCAAGTCTGTGTATTTGGGCACTGGCTGTGGAAAAAGCAAAGAAAATGCAAAAGCAGTTGCATCAAGAGAAGCATTGAAGTTATTTCTCAAGAAAAAGGTGGTGGTAAAAATATGTAAAAGGAAATACAGAGGCAGTGAAATAGAAGATCTAGTACTCCTTGATGAAGAATCGAGGCCTGTAAACTTACCTCCAGCATTAAAACATCCTCAAGAATTACTATAATGTGTCCAAAATATCACTGCATACAATATCTGGTATTTGAAGAGAAAAACTGACTTTTGTACAGCATAAAACACAGGCTTTCACAAATTTTGTATTGCTTTTTTTCCAGTTTTGCAGAAAATTTACATTCTAGTTCTCTTCACACAATAGAAGTTGTAAATAATTTATGAATGACAGTACACATTAAAAGGTATGCATTAACAGCATATTAGTATGCTGTTTTATTTGCTGAAGAAAATACTGTCTTCTATTTTTAATGATACGTTAGGTACGACGTGTAGTTCGGTAGAGTTCTAAAATTTTTGTACTACTTTCAATTTGGTGAAAACGTATTAAGTTGTCTACCATATTTTCTTTTCTAGCTGAGTAAACCACATCAAAGAAAAGGGACCACAGTATTTGAATGTTTGAAAGTCTGTAAAGCTTAAGGTTTTAAAAATGTTGCCCGTAATGTTGAACATGTCTGTTAAAAAATAAAAGAAAAAATAGTTGCTTCAAACTATTTTTATGAGAAGTTGTAAGCATTTTTTAGATATAAAGCAGTATAAAGTACTTATTGTTATTTTATTCTGAAGTTGTTTAAAATTCACCATGACTTTGACCGCTGCAGATTCTTTAAGCGGGTTAATTTATGTTTTGAGGTGGAATACAATTTACACTTTTTCTTAAAGACATGAATGTGGGTTTCTATATTAAGCATATTTTGTGACTACTATTAACAGATTGATTTGTTTAGATATTAAATGCTTTAAGCTATTTTACCTTTTCAAGAAGTTGTGTTTTTTTTCTCCAAGTCAGAACCAATTCCTGCAAATAGGCTTCCCACGACTTGTCATTATAAATTAGACAACCAGGTAATTGTGTGATATACATCTTTATTTTATTTTTTTACAGCAACCCCCTGAGCCAGAATAGCTGCAAAGCAATCCCTTGAATTTTCAAATCTAGAACTGGATGGTTTTTGTGTTTACGAATCTTTTAGAATCCTGGAAAGAACAGAGAGCCATGTTCAGCTCTTGATAATGAGCCTATTCAATTTAACTACATTCGTTAGTAATGAAGTGGAATTTTGTTTTTGTCTTAGGTGATTCTACCTGTTTGTCATTGTATATTCTGTTTACTTTGCTTCAGACTGGCCCCAAGATGTTACTTTCGTGGTTTCTGGCTTTCTAGATTCTATTTTTAGATACTGCACATTGAGCAATAATGGTGATAATGAAAAGAGAAAAGAAAGACCTTTCATGGGCCAATCGTGTTGGAATAGGAAAATTGAACGTAAGCTTAATTTAAGTATGTAGCAGTTACTCCTATTTTGTATTCTAGTAATAAAAACGATACTTTTTTTATGCTTGAATTACATAATCAGATGTTTTTATTTTACCATATAACCTTTAAAAATGATTCATTTTTGAGGGTATTTAATTGGATACCAGAGCTAAAATCTATATACTGTAAGTGGGTTGCTTTTATAGATTGCAGGACACAATAACATGAATGTATTGTGAAAGCACTTTTAGTTACCTCACTTTCCTCAGTCTTGGAATGTGTATTTTGTGGGATAATGATTATCAGAAAAGCAAAAATTACAAAGAACAAATAAATTTAATATATCTAATTAGGTGGTTTGGTAATTTCGTAAATTGGCTTGTTTCAAGTTAATATGAAGGTTATTGAAAATATTTTATAGTGACCTTTGATGTGGAGGAAGTTGTTTAGTGTACGTTTATGATAATCCTATTTAAAACCCTAGAAAAATACTCTTGGTTAATAACATTTAAAAGAATCCTGATTTAAGGGAAATGCATATTTTAGAGTTATGTTACTGAGAGTGAATCCTGGCTCTGCCTTTTACTAGACATGTAACCTCTGGGAATTTAACCTTTTAACCTTACTTCATCTGAAATAGGACTAATAGCTGTCTCATAGAGCATGACTGTTAGATGAGATGATATATTTAAAGTGCCCAGCAGGGTGCAGGTATCCCATGGTTTACTTATGTATTCTCATTTCCTCTTACGAGGAGCTCTTCTCATTTGGCCTACTTTTCAGATGGAGAAACCTACACAAAGTAATTTGGTCAAATAATTCAAGGCCATATCTGATTTCAAAACCCAAGCTCAAGTATGTTGTATTGCCTATTATCGTCACTTCTCTATATGCTAAAATTTCTGAAAATCACCCCCAGAACGTGATTTTCTACCAGATTAAGGGACTGCATCTTTCTAAAGCCTCCTTGAAATGAGTCACTTCAGAGGCTCTTCTATTATTAATGCTTCTAATACTTGCATATCTTGAATATCCTCAACTAGTGAATCATCACATATGGATGCAGTTGAACTTTGTAAAAAGGCCATACACACACCAAGAAATCTGCACATAAAACCCCCCAAAACCAAAAAACCAAACACACCTGCCTACAATAATGTATAATCAAGTTTCGTGAATAAAGTTGGTTATCAAGATGGGATATAATATTTTTTTCAGATGAGTGAGGTGAGACAGTTTCCTGAGACATCAAGATTTTTCTTGATGCTAAAATGAGAATTTTTTTTTTTAATGGTAAAGTTAGTTGACTTTGAAGAATGATATCGTCATAAGTTTTTGACCTAAATTCTTGGAGCCTGTCACTGCTGTCATTGGCTAGGATAGTTGTCATAGGGATATGTGTAACTTTAAGGACTTTGATATGTATTATCAAGAGCCTGCTCCAATGTGAATTGTTTTCCCTGTCGAGTGCAGCTTTTTTTGGTACAGATTTCTCCTTGCTGTTTAGATTTTTGAGTAACAACAGTGAGAAAGTAACAAAAGCAAGCAGCAATTGGGAACCAGGTCAGTCCTACAGAGATGGTGTTACTACTTTGTGGGCTTTGTCCTCAAAAATTGTGCTAAAGTCCTATATTGACCTGCCTTCTAGACATTGGTTATCCATTCCTGCATGATTTTTGAATAATATTTTCTGTGATTGATGAATAAATTATTTTACTTTCTACTAGAACAATGTTCAAGTTGAATGAAGGGTTGTCAAGCCATTTATTGTCCAACTACTCCTCCCCAAGAAAAATATCAATCATATTTCTTTGGCGTCCCTGCATACAGCTTAGTTGCTATCCAGTTAGAACCATTTCTTACTATTAATTTATCGTTTTTTTTTTTCTTTTTTTTTTTTTTTTTTGAGACGGAAGGAGTCTTGCTCTGTCGCCCAGGCTGGATTGCAGTGGCATGATCTCAGCTCACTGCAACCTCAGCCTCCTGGGGTCAGGCGATTCTTCTGCTTCAGCTTCCTGAGTTTTTTAGTAAAAACTAGCTGGTATTATAGGTGCGTGCCACTGCACCCGGCTAATTTTTTCGCATTTTTAGTAGAGACGGGGTTTCACCATGTTGGTCAGGTCGGTCTTGAACTCCTGATCTCGTGATCTGCCTGCCTCAGCCACCCAAATTGCTGGGATTACAGGCATGAGCCACCGTGCCCGGCCAATTTTTTTCCTTTAAAAAAAGGATAGTCATTATCTGAAAATTATTAGTTTTTAAAGTTCTTTTTCTGTTCCTTTGGTATTCATCTAGCAAGAAAAATAGTAGCCAAGGCCCCAAACTAAATTAACTTTAACTTTGAAGGGAAAAAAGAAAAGTAATGCTAGGCCGGGCACAGTGGCTCATGCCTGTAATCCCAGCACTTTGGGAGGCCGAAGCAGGCGGATCACCTGAAGTCAGGAGTTTGAGACCAGCCTGGCCAAAATGGTGAAACCTTGTCTCTAAACTACAACATTAGCCAGGCGTGGTGGTGCGTGCCTGTAATCCCAGCTACTTGGGAGGCTGAGACAGGAGAATTGCTTGAACCTGGGAGGTGGAGGTTGCAGTGAGCCATGGTTGTGCCACTGCACTCTAGCCTGGGTGACAGAGTGAGACTCTGTGTCAAAAAAAAAAAAAAGTAATACTAAACACAAAAGGTTGGATACAGGACATTTTTAGTAAAAACTAGAAATTTCATATGCCAATACTGAAGAAGCAGTCAAATACTTTGTGACTTTGAAACTTGATTGAATAGAATCAGAATCCTTGGAGGTCTTAGGAAGCAGCCAAACTAAACAATATAAGCAGTAAATACACTAAAGACTACCATTTTGTTGAAGTCTGACTGTTATGTACCATGTATATAACTTGAAAAGGAATCTAGAGACAAATGTACAAAAAGGTGATTTGGAAGGAAATCACCTAGTAATTTCCTTATACTGTTTTCAGTGTACCAGGGCTTAGACACTTAAAAATGATAAAACCCAAGTTCTGAATATGTGATCAGTGGTTTTCAAACTTTATTTTAGCCATATTTCTTCAAAGAAAAATGGGGGCATTGTGTATGTAAAACAGAGAACTACTTTGGTCAAAGGAGGGTGGCCACACCCCACAACTGAATTATATGTTTGGTTCTTAATTTTTTTTTTTTCTTTTTTTTTTTTTTTTTTGAGACAGATCTCGTTCTGTTGCCCAGGCTGGAGTGCAGTGGTTCACTGCAACCTTTGCCTCCCAGGTTCAAGTGATTCTCCTGCCTTGGCCTCCTGAGTAGCTGGGATTACAGGTGCAAACCACCATACCCAGCTAATTTTTGTATTTTTAGTAGAAATGGGGTTTCACCATCTAAGCCAGACTGGTCTCAAACTCCTGACCTCAGGTGATCCACCCACCTGAGCCTCCCAAAGTGTTGGGATTATAGGCGTGAACCACCACACCTGGTCTCTGTTCTCAGACTCAATTTCTGAGTTACCTCCTGGACTATGAGCGGAGGGAATGTGGCAACTAGGAGGCTCAGTGTAAACAGCCAGCCTCCTTCTGCAGCAGGTATTAGAGTGGATGTGGGTCGAAGCTGCCAGTTTACTACAAAATTGAATTAATTAGTTTTTTAAAGTAGATGCCATATTAAAATTTACCTGAGTAGGGACTCAGGTCAGGTTTAAGGGATTGTTACATAAATTAACATTTAAGTAATACTAAAAATAGCTGCCTTTTATTTCTTTTAATTGTGAAATACAGTTGCAAAAACCCATAAAGTCCACCCGTGTAAAGTCCAACAGTTACTCAATGCCCATATAATAATTATGTAGGCCAAAAAATAAAACTTTAGCAGCACTTCAGGGACTCAAATCCAGTGTTCTTCTAGAAGACTTGAACAGTGGTTTGGTTCTGATTTGGGCACTGAATGTAAATGCCAGTGAGACGTGCTGTCCCATGAGCCTTGTTTCCTGTATTCCAGAAAGTAGTGAGTGAAATTCACACTTTGAGGAAAATTTGAGAAGTTTTTTGTTCAACTATTTAGGAAGCTTCTAAAAAAAGTAAACTTTAAAGAAAACTCAAATGTGATCTGAATCATTAGAAAATTTTTCTAGACATTCTATTTGTAGAATTAAAGGACAATTTACAGAAGCAATGATACAACCAATGCGTCGAGATGCATGATGTATCTTAGGGATGCTGTCTGTTACTCTTCACCATTTGCATATGATTAAATAATTTTCTATACTAGCTAAGGAAAAAATGATTATCATGAAATAAAATATGACAGTTCCCGGGAAGCATTTCTAATGTATCTTACTTATGTGCACTGATAGTGGATCATGTATACTTAATGCAGGAGTTTATCATGAATGCTCAACCTGCAGTTTGGAAACCAGTATGGGGTAGAAATAATGTGCACCTTTCTGTCTTTGTTTTTTGCTTCAAAATGATATTAAATGTGATTAGCAAGATAAATAAGATGGGGTAAAATAAGGATACTATTTTGAAGATATTCACTCGACTCCCCTGTAATTTGCATTCTCTAGCAATCATTCTGCCACTATGGTTTTCATAGGGAAGGATGTCAAGGAGAAGGTTAAAGAGGCAGGCATTGGAGACCTGTGGGTCCTGACCTCTATGACAGTGGTCCCCAAAGTTTTTGGTCTTTCAGGGAAGACCATTTTTCCACGGACGGTGGTTAGGGAATGGTTTTGGTATGATTCAAGCACATTACATTTATTGTGCACTTTCTTTTTTTTTTGAGACGGAGTCTGTTGCCCAGGCTGGAGTGTAGTGGCGCCATCTCAGCTCACTGCAACTTCTGCCCCCCAGATTCAAGCGATTCTCCTGCCTCAGCCTCCTGAGTAGCTGGAATTGCAGGTGTGAGCCACCATGCCTGGCTAAGTTTTGTATATTTAGTTTTGTATATTTAGGGTTTCACCATGTTGGTCAGGCTGGTCTTGATTGAACTCCTGACCTCACATTACCTACCTGCCTCGGCCTCACAAAGTGTTGAGATTATAGGCGTGAGCCACCACGCCCAGCCTGTACACTTTATTTCTATTATTATTACTTTGCAATATATAATGAAATGATTATACCATTCACCATAATACAGAATCAGTGGAAGCCCTGAGCTTGTTTTCTACAACTAGATGGTCGCATCGGGGGGTGATGGGACACAGTGACAGATCATCAGGCATTAGATTCTCATAAGGAGTGTGCAGTCTAGCTCCCTCACATGCACAGTTCACAATAGGGTTTGTGTTCCTTTCAGAATCGAATGCCACTGCTTATCTGACAGGAGGCAGAGCTCAGGTGGTAATGTGAGCGGTGGTGAGCAGCAGT